AGAACAAGATAAAAGAAAAGGATAAAAGAAAGAAAGACAAGATAAAGAAAGAACAAGATAAAGAGAGAAAGACAAGATAAAGAAAGACAAGATAAAAGAGAGAGAAAAAGACAAGATAAAGAGAAGACAAGATAAAGAGAAAGACAAGATAAAGAGAAGAAAGAAAGAAAAAGAAAAAAGAGAGAAAGACAAGATAAAGAAAAGACAAGATAAAGAGAGAAAGGCAAGATAAAGACAAGATAAAGAGAAAGACAAGATAAGAAAAAGACAAGATAAAGAGAAAAGACAAGATAAGAGAGAAAGAACAGATAAGAGAAAAACAAATAAAGAAAGAAAGACAAGAAGAAGAAGACAAGATAAAAGAGAAAGACAAGATAAAGAGAGAGAAAGAACAAGATAAAGAAAGACAAGATAAAGAGAAAAGACAAGATAAAGAAAGAATAAAGAAGAAGAAGAAACAAGAGAAAGACAAAGATAAAAGAGAGAAAAGACAAGATAAAAGAAAGAAGAACAAGATAAAGAGAGAGAAAGACAAGATAAGAAAGACAAGATAAAGAGAGAAAAAGAAAAAGAAAGACAAGATAAAGAAAGACAAGACAAAGAGAAAAAGACAAGATAAAGAGAAAGAACAATAAAAGAAGAAAGACAGATAAAAAGAAAGACAAGATAAAAGAGAGAAAGACAAGATAAAAGAGAAAAGACAAGATAAAGAGAAAGACAAGATAAAGAAAGACAAGAAGAAGAAACAAATAGAAAGAAACAAAAAAACAAGATAAAAAAAAAAGAAAGAAGAAAAAAGATAAAGAGAGAAAGACAAGATAAAAAGAAAAGACAAGATAAAAGAGAGAAAGAAAAAAGAAAGAAAGAAAAGAAACAAGATAAAAGAAAGACAAGATAAAGAGAGAAAGACAAGATAAAAGAAAGACAAGATAAAAGAGAAAGACAAGATAAAGAGAAGAACAGAATAGAGAGAGAAAGACAAGATAAAGAAGAAGACAAGAATAAAGAGAAAAGACAAGATAAAAGAAAGACAAGAAAGACAAGAAAAGAAAAAAAAGAGAGAGAAAAGAAGAAAAAAAGACAAGATAAAAGAGAACAAGATAAGAGAAAGAAGACAAGATAAAGAGAGAAAGACAAGATAAAAAGAGAAAGACAAGATAAAGAAAGATAAGAGAAAAAGACAAGATAAAGAGAAAAACAAGACAAGAGAAAGACAGAAGAAAAGACAAGATAAAAGAGAAGAACAAGATAAAGAGAGAAAGACAAGATAAGAAAGACAAGATAAAAAGACAAGATAAAGAAGAAAGAAGAAAAAAGAAAGACAAGATAAAGAGAGAGAAAGACAAGATAAAAGAGAGAAAAGACAAGATAAAAGAGAAAGACAAGATAAGAAAGACAAGAGAAAAAGACAAGATAAAGAGAAAGACAAGAATAAAGAGAGAAAGAACAAGATAAAGAAGAACAAGATAAAGAAGAACAAGATAAAGAAAAAAGACAAGATAAAGAAAAGACAAGATAAAGAAAGACAAGATAAAAGAAAAGAAAAAGAAAAAGAAGAAAAGACAAGATAAAGAGAGAAAGACAAGATAAGAGAAAGACAAGAGAGAGAAAGACAAGATAAAGAAAGAACAAGATAAAAAGAGAGAAAACAAGATAAAGAAAGACAAGATAAAGAGAAAGACAAGATAAAAGAGAGAAAGACAAGATAAAGAAAGACAAGATAAAGAAGAAAGAAGATAAAGAAGAGACAAGAAAGAAGACAAGATAAAGAGAGAAAAGATAAGAGAAAGAAAAGAAAAGAGAACAAGATAAAGAAAGACAAGATAAAAAGAAAGACAAGATAAAGAAAGAGTAAAGAAGAAAGACAGATAAAGAAGACAAAAGAGAAGAAAAAGAAAGATAAAGAGAAACAAGATAAAGAGAGAAAGACAAGATAAAGAAAGAACAGAATAAAGAAAGAAAAGAGAGAGAAAGAAAGATAAAAGAGAGAAAGACAAGATAAAGACAAGATAAAGAGAAGACAAGATAAAGAAAGACAAGATAAAGAGAAGAAAAGATAAAGAGAGAAAGACAAGATAAAAGAGAAAAGACAAGATAAAGAAAAGACAGATAAAGAGAGAAAGACAAGATAAAAGAAAACAAGATAAAGAGAGAAAGACAAGATAAAAGAAAAGACAAGATAAAGAGAGAAAGACAAGATAAAGAAAAGACAAGATAAAAGAGAGAAAGACAAGATAAAGAGAGAAAGACAAGATAAAGAAGACAAGATAAAAGAGAAAGACAAGATAAAGAAAGAAAGACAAGATAAAGAGAGAAGACAAGATAAAGAAGAACAAGATAAAGAGAGAAAGACAAGATAAGAAAAGACAAGATAAAGAAGACAAGATAAAGAGAAGAAGACAAGATAAAGAGAGAAAGACAAGATAAAGAGAAAAGACAAGATAAAAGAAAGAAGACAAGATAAAGAGAGAAAGACAAGATAAAGAGAGAAAAGACAAGATAAGAAAGACAAGATAAGAGAGAAAGACAAGATAAAAGAGAGAAGAAAAGAGAGACAAGATAAAGAGACAAGATAAAAGAGAGAAAGACAAGATAAGAAAGACAAGATAAAGAAAGACAAGATAAAGAGAGAGAAAGACAAGATAAAGAAAAGAAAAGAAAGATAAAAGAAGAAAGATAAAGAGAAAAGACAAGATAAAGAAAGACAAGATAAAGAAGAAGATAAAGAGAAAGACAAGATAAAAGAAGAAAGACAAGATAAAGAGAAAGAACAAGATAAAGAGAAGACAAGATAAAGAGAGAAAGACAAGATAAAGAGAGAAAAGAAGACAAGATAAGAAGAAGACAAGATAAAGAAGAACAAGATAAAAAGAGAGAAAGACAAGATAAAGAGAGAAAAGACAAGATAAAGAGAAGAAGACAAAGATAAAAGAAGACAAGATAAAGAGAAAAGGTAAAGATAAAGAGAAAGACAAGATAAAGAGAAAGACAAGATAAAAGAAAGACAAGATAAGAGAGAAAAGACAAGATAAAGAGAGAAAGACAAGATAAAGAGAAGAAGACAAGATAAAAGAGAAAAGACAAGATAAAAGAAGACAAGATAAAGAGAAAGAAGACAAGATAAAAGAGAAAGACAAGATAAAGAGAAAGACAAGATAAAAGAAGACAAGATAAAGAGAGAAAAGAAGAGATAAAGAAAGACAAGATAAAGAGAGAAAGACAAGATAAAGAAAGAAAGACAAGATAAAAGAGAAAAGACAACAAGATAAAGAAAGACAAGATAAAGAGAGAAAGACAAGATAAAGAGAGAAAGACAAGATAAAGAGAAAAGACAAAATAAAGAAAGACAAGATAAAGAGAGAAAGACAAGATAAAAGAAAGAAGACAAGATAAAGAGAAAAGACAAGATAAAGAGAGAAAGACAAGATAAAGAGAGAAAGACAAGATAAAGAAAGACAAGATAAAGAAAGACAAGATAAAAAGAAAGACAAGATAAAAGAAGCAAGATAAAGAAGAAAGACAAGATAAAGAAAGACAAGATAAAGAGAGAAAGACAAGATAAAGAGAGAAAGACAAGATAAAGAGAAAGAGAAAGAAAGACAAGATAAAGAAAAGACAAGATAAAAAAGAGAGAAAGACAAGATAAAAGAGAAAGAAAGACAAGATAAAAGAAAAGACAAGATAAAGAGAAAGACAAGATAAAAGAAGAGAAAGACAAGATAAAAGAGAAAGACAAGATAAAGAGACAAGATAAAGAGAAAAGACAAGATAAAGAAAGACAAGATAAAAGAGAAAGACAAGATAAAGAAAAAGACAAGATAAGAGAGAAAGACAAGATAAAGAGAAAAAAGAGATAAAGAAGAACAAGATAAAAGAGAAAGACAAGATAAAGAAAGAAAGACAAGATAAAGAGAAAGACAAGATAAAGAGAGAAAGACAAGATAAGAGAGAAAGACAAGATAAAAGAAAGACAAGATAAAGAGAAAGACAAGATAAAAGAAAGAAAAAGACAAGATAAAAAGAAAGAAGACAAGATAAAGAAAGGCAAGATAAAAAAGACAAGATAAAAGAGAAAGACAAGATAAAGAGAAAGACAAGATAAAGAGAGAAAGACAAGATAAAGAGAAAGACAAGATAAAGAAAGATAAAGAGAAAGACAAGATAAAAGAAAAGACAAGATAAAGAAAGACAAGATAAAGAAGAAAGAAAGATAAAGAGAAAGACAAGATAAAGAGAAAAGAAAGACAAGATAAAGAGAAAAAGAAAGATAAAAGAAGAAAGACAAGATAAAAGAGACAAGATAAAAGAGAAAGACAAGATAAAGAGAAAGACAAGATAAGAGAAAGACAAGATAAAGAGAGAAAGACAAGATAAAAGAAAGACAAGATAAAAGAGAAAGACAAGATAAAGAGAAAAGACAAGATAAAAAAGAAAAGGACAAGATAAAGAGAAAGACAAGATAAAGAAAGACAAGATAAAGAGAAAAGACAAGATAAAAGAAGAAGACAAGATAAAAAGAAAGAACAAGATAAAGAGAAAGACAAGATAAAGAGAGAAAGACAAGATAAGAAAGACAAGATAAAGAGAGAAAGACAAGATAAAGAAGACAAGATAAAAGAGAAAAGACAAGATAAAAGAGAAAGACAAGATAAAAGAGAGAAAGACAAGATAAAAAGAAAGACATAAGAGAGAAAGACAAGATAAGAAAAGACAAGATAAAGAGAGAGAAAAGACAAGATAAAGAAAGAAAGAAGACAAGATAAAGAGAAAGACAAGATAAGAAAAGACAAGATAAAGAAAGAAAGACAAGATAAAGAAGAAAGACAAGATAAAGAGAGAAAGACAAGATAAAGAAAGACAAGATAAAGAGAGAAAGACAAGATAAAGAAGAACAAGATAAAGAAAGACAAGATAAAGAGAGAAAGACAAGATAAAGAGAGAAAGACAAGATAAAGAGAGAAAGACAAGATAAAGAAAGAAAGACAAGACAAGATCCACACCTCAGTTCATCCCGCTCTTTCTCCCACTGCCTCACTATTTCCCGCGCCTCCTCCTCCTCAAAGTCCTGGCTGCTCTCTATCAGTGACTGTAGGATCATCAGCCACCCACTCGTCTTCTTGTACACTTCAGAGTTAAGGCATTGGATCTCATACTGTAAATAAATAACAATGTATAACTCAGTATAAACACAACATGAATACACAAGTACAGTATACTGTATATATTAAGAATGGATTTATGTATATGGATAGAAATTACAGTGTATAACATCATGAATACATAAATAAGTATAGTATACATTAAGCTGTTTCTAATGTCAGGTAATATATAACACCCATCCACCACCCACACACCTAGTTTCCCTTATTTCCAGTTACTCATTCTTATTAACATAAAAAAATTTGTTCAGCTATGTTCTTCTAAGATGCGTTCTACTATGCTCTACAAATATGTATCATGCTATGCTCTTAGGTGCAATATGCTATGCTCTTCCGACACATGTATACCTTGGGTCACCTACTGCAGATACCATACATATCTTACATCTAACTCCCAGATGATTGCCCCTGTTCGCCAGCTGTGGTTGAGGGAGACGTCAGCCAGATCACTGTACGGGTGGTCGCCAAAATATAACACCTCGGGACCCTGCCAGCCTTTCATTTGTTGCAGCTGCCTCAAGTTACCCTGAAACAATTTATTTTGAGTTTGGTATTGAAAGAGACAGCCAGGATTTATATTATTATCGCAATCACTGAAGAAGAGAAGAGAAGAGAAGAGAACCCAACTAAGCCTCATTACATTATATCATTAACGACTTAACGACTCACCTCCAAGTAAATTTTGCCTTTATCCAGACTAGTCACTGGACCCCAAGTTTGTATGTGGATTTCTTCGTTGAGTTCACGGAAAGGCCTCATGCTGTCTGTGAAGAAGGCAGGCTTCTTGGCGCTGGCAACCACTACATCGAAGTAGTCACGCCAATCATCCCCCAACAAGTACGACATTCCAGCATTTCTGTAAAGTTTGGATGTGCATTTTATATTTAATAATTTAATTTACCCTCCATTGTGGATTGAGAGAAATAGCTGTAAAATAATAATAATGATGATGATGATGACGATGATATAGGTTTACATCCTGTTAATGGAGCCTTAGTAAACTTCCACATCTACGCTGTGTTCTATCAACATTAGTTTATGGTGATTATTAAGTTTTAAAATGGTTTATATAACTAATGGAGAGACTATAGACATAAATAACAGCCTAATACTTACACAAAATAAAATGGACTGTTGGTAATGATGAAGATTTCTTTCTTATGTTCCTTTAACCTGTTGAAAAATGTTACAAGGCTCGGGTCCTTGATCAGGTACTCGCTGATGTTCCGGCCAACGATTCGGTGCATCTCCGGGTGGATACTGGCAATGGCCGCCTGTCGAGATCAACATACTTATTAGAAGCTGAGAAATTTGCATATACAGAATTTTTTTTTTAATACAGTATAACCAAAAAAAGGACAATGCTTGACACAAACCATAGACTCTACCACTGTACTGTACTTGTCAACACACACAAGCACACACCACTGTACAGTACTTGTCAACACACACAGGCACACACCACTGTACAGTACTTGTCAACACACACAAGCACACACCACTGTACTGTACTTGTCAACACACACAGGCACACACCACTGTACAGTACTTGTCAACACACACAAGCACACACCACTGTACAGTACTTGTCAACACACACAAGCACACACCACTGTACAGTACTTGTCAACACACACAAGCACACACCACTGTACAGTACTTGTCAACACACACAAGCACACACCACTGTACTGTACTTGTCAACACACACAAGCACACACCACTGTACTGTACTTGTCAACACACACAAGCACACACCACTGTACAGTACTTGTCAACACACACAGGCACACACCACTGTACAGTACTTGTCAACACACACAAGCACACACCACTGTACTGTACTTGTCAACACACACAAGCACACCACTGTACTGTACTTGTCAACACACACAGGCACACACCACTGTACAGTACTTGTCAACACACACAGGCACACACCACTGTACAGTACTTGTCAACACACACAGGCACACACACCACTGTACAGTACTTAGCCAACACACACAAGCACACACCACTGTACAGTACTTGTCAACACACACAGCACACACACCACTGTACAGCACTTGTCAACACACACACAAGCACACCACTGTACAGTACTTGTCAACACACACAAAGCACACACCACTGTACAGTACTTACACAACACACACAAGCACCACTGTACTGTACCCTGTCAACACACACCAAGCACACACCACTGTACAGCACTCTGTCAACACACACACACACCACTGTACAGTACTTCTGTCAACACACACAAGCACACACCATCAGGCCAGCACTTGTCAACACACACAGCACACACCACCAGGCAGCACGGTCAACACACACAAGCACACAACAGGCTGTGCACTTGTCAACACACACAAGCACACACCACTGTACAGTAGTACTTGTCAACACACACAAGCACACACCACTGTACAGTACTTGTCAACACACACAAGCACACCACTGCCAGTAATTTTGTCAACACACACAAGCACACACACCACTGCACAGCACACACGAAGGACATTCACTGTACAGTACTTTGGTCAACACACAAGCACACCAATACAGGCCTGTCAACACACACAAGCACACACCACTGTACTGTACTTGTCAACACACACAAGCACACACCACACTGTACAGTACTTGTCAACACAGCCACACACACCACCACAGTAATTTGTCAACACACACAAGCACACACACCACTGTACAGTACTTGTCAACACACACACAGCACACACCACTGTACAGCATTTGTCAACACACACACACACCACTGTACAGTACTTGTCAACACACACAAGCACACACCACTGTACAGTACTTGTCAACACACACAAGCACACACCACTGTACAGTACTTGTCAACACACACAAGCACACACCACTGTACTGTACTTGTCAACACACACAGGCACACACCACTGTACAGTACTTGTCAACACACACAAGCACACACCACTGTACAGTACTTGTCAACACACACAAGCACACACCACTGTACAGTACTTGTCAACACACACAAGCACACACCACTGTACAGTACTTGTCAACACACATACACTACAGTACAGTATTTGTCAACATCTTCTCGACACACAGAACCACTAATATGAATCCAATATTTCAGGGGTGTTTGGGAGTGCGGGGTAAATATATACAGTATATATATATTTTAGTCAGATAAACAAAGTGGTGACAACAGCATCACCACAGATCAAATAATTTTTTACAACAATATTGTGTAAAAAATTAGAGGCACTCATATTTATCAAAGTTAACTATGTGAAAATTATGAGACAAAAACAAATAAAATTATATATAATGTAGGGACGGTAAACTAGACTGGGGAGGACGAGGGAAAGAGAAAGATAAAACAATGTGTGAAGATCAAAGACAGCCTGAGGAGCCATGAAGGACTGTGTCATAGACCTGCCATTAGTACAGCACTTAAGTTTACTGATGAAGATAAAAATAGAACAAGTGTACTGTACTGTACTGTACTGTGATATTGTTTATAGACAGTATATATTTCAGTGAAGAAATGCTTGTGATTATTATTCAAATATATATATTTGTACAATAAAATCCCATATAAATTAATCCCACAGAACGCACTATCAGTTTGACATGCCTTAAAATACGGCTACATATCGTATTGCCCGGTGATATCCCTATACAGTATAAGGCCATCAGGTTAGTGCGGTCGGTGAGGCTAGCTTTCTAGTCCCTCTGGGTGGCATGGGTGGTTAGTCTTCTGCCAGTCCTCTGGGACACACCCACCACCTTGGACGTGCCTGGAAGGCAGGAGCAGCATCAGTTACCATGAGTCTCTTGCTACATCAAGAGTGTGTTGCTGTGCTCCAGGTGTTATAACTTCCATGCTGTGTTTGTGCCTTCAGCGTACTGTACGTTACTATGTGTGCGATACAACGGATCCTTATACTGTACTGTAGTGTGATGCTGCTGCCATCAAGAAAACCACAAACATTTCAGCTCCAAAACTTGAGAAAAATCTGGTCAGGAGGCTGTACAGTACAAGGTCAGTTGCTAGACATCACTTCCTATCCAAAGGACCGAGTAATCAAACTCTGTGCCACATACCATAACTTCTGACACTGTTTGTGCCTTCTGTGTACTACTTCTACATGTGTCATAATGATAGCAAGTGCCTTAGGCAGCCTTCTGGTCATGCTGCAAATTGACAAAACAATAAAAAAAAATTCAATTCTTTCTTTTGTCTGATTCACCTCCAAATTTAATATACTGGGTGTCTCCCTAGTCTTTATCCTTTGTTCCCTTGCCAAGTTTGATGTAGAACTTCTCAATAGTTCCTGTGTTATGACTGGAAATAGAATACAGAGGACAGACAGACACAGAACATTCCTATAGACCCCAACCATGAAATCAGTGGAGGACTAATAAGACAAAACACCGCACTAACCTTGACATCATTGAAGAGTGGGACGGAGTGATAGGGAAGGTTGTGATCATGGAAGTATTGAGCCACCTGACTCAGGAGACACATCTCAGGCAGAGAGAAGAGGTCTGCCAGGTGAGCCATCTTGGTGTGCTGGAAGGAGTTGACTCATAATGAAAAACAAAAAATTAAATAAACCAAGTAGAAATTAACTAATCTGTAAATGAATAAAAATAAATAAAATAATCATCATACTTATCACTTTTATCTTCATGTGACTGGCAATAAATTTCACCTTTAACTTAATAGGCTGTATATTTATAAGAATAGTTCAAAGCTTAAATAGTCAATCCTGAAAACCTCTTAGTCAATCACTGGTAAATAATTCAGTCACAAATATCAAGAGAAAAACACAAATCTTTCAAGCTCTTTTCATCTAATTTTCCATAAGTTACCAGAGCAACTTTAGCACAAGACACTATGAAATGATTGCAAGTCAAATGGACCCCAAGTTAACTATTCGGGTTCAGTACATCTTCAGTAGTAATCTAACTTGTTAATTTAGCTTAGGTTAAGTTGGGGCCCAGAAGGTCCAGGTTAGGTTATGTTAAGTTACGTTAGGCTTAGTTGAAGACCAGTAGGTCTAGGTTAGGTTATGTTAGGCTTAGTTGGAGACCAGTAGGTCTAGGTTAGGTTATGTTAGGCTTAGTTGAAGACCAGTAGGTCTAGGTTAGGTTATGTTAGGCTTAGTTGGAGACCAGTAGGTAGGTCTAGGTTAGGTTATGTTAGGCTTAGTTGGAGACCAGTAGGTCTAGGTTAGGTTATGTTAGGCTTAGTTGGAGACCAGTAGGTCTAGGTTAGGTTATGTTAGGCTTAGTTGGAGACCAGTAGGTCTAGGTTAGGTTATGTTAGGCTTAGTTGAAGACCAGTAGGTCTAGGTTAGGTTATGTTAGGCTTAGTTAGAGGCCAGTAGGTCTAGGTTAGGTTATGTTAGGCTTAGTTGGAGACCAGTTGGTCTGGGTTTTTTTAGGATATGTAATGTTAAGTTTGATTGAGGTACAGGAGGTGTAGATTAGGTTATATTAAGTTTGGTTAGGCTTGGTTGGGGCCCAGTAGGTCTTATGACTGGAGGCAGCACGGGCAGCAATACACACGGGCCAGACTGAAGCCAGCCGACCCACATGCCACCATCTTGGTATTGATAAAACAGTCACTACTCATCTACCAGGTTGCTACTCTCCGTATATAAGGACTAATATGACCCAGTGAGAGAAGAAAGAGACCCACCCACGTCTGTTGACCCTACAAAATATTCCTCAGTCTCCTGTGTAATATTCCTCAGTCTCTGTTGATGATGGTAAGTTACTGAGGCACCGTATAAACTCGAACTCGGTGATCTAATGAGACAAGGAAGCTGGAACAACACTTTTCATGTATTGTGGTAAAGAGTTGAGAGCGTTCAGTGATATATTAGGTACTGTACATGTTATGTGACTCAGGGCTCACACAAGATCAGAAAAAGTCAAGAAGCTGTACAGTACATAGTTATCATTAGGTGGAGATTAACAGAATTACCTTAAATCCTTGAAACTAAAAAAAAAAAAAAATTCAACCATTGTTTAAAAGATCAATGTTATGTTTAGTAGAGCAGATCTTAACAACCTCAAGCACTAACACCTCCAGCCATCTACCACAAGCTTCCAGTGGTACTCTTTACTCATGTCACCAAAAAAAGAGAATAGGAGAAAGAGAGCAAGTCCAGCCATGACCCAGGACTCAACTACAACAACCCTTCTACTGTAGTATACATTATTACACTTACGAAATGAAGTGTAGTGAGTGGGTTCATCTCGTCCCTTGCCATCATATATAAAGAGGTCTTCTTGTCCTTGTCCAGATGTTCTACTGATGTGTCTGCATAATCCTCACCAAACTTGTTTATGTAATACAGTACACAACTCTGTCATGACTTGCTTGCTGACACACCTTAATAACTGTCTTCTGTACATTGTGTTTAAGACCGAAACAGCTATGTACCTGTACCCAATTCTCAATAATCTTCATCTAATTATTATTATTATTATTATTATTGTTATTATTATTATTATATGTACACCCATAAAAATAGTTCTGTCATTCATTTCTCCTATCCATGAACCCTGTGACTCGTGAACCTGTGAATCCGAGATGTCACACATTGTTGGGTCCATAGTTGGTGCAGTGTGTGATGTCTCAGATTCACAGGTTCAGGATCCAAAAGGTTCGTGGATAGGATGGGGGACTGACAGAACATTTTTTGGGGTGTGTGTGTGTATATTGACTGTTGCTTTCAATGGGCTGTTTAGCATCAATTAAAATACAGTAATGAAGGCTGCCTGATTCACTGGGTAATAGTACGTACTGTATATTGAGTCATTATTTGTTACATCACTCTCTTGAAATTTATGTGGTATTAATCCTAATTTCGGAACAAAAATTACGTATGGTACAATAAGAGTAATCAGCTACACTTCACCTAATTTGTATCCTGAGGGAAATTCAAATAGAGTAGATCCCTTGAGAGGTAGAGTGGTCAAACCAGCAAAGTTCGAGTGTACTTAATTACCCCCAAAAATAAGTGAAGAAAAAATAAATCACAAGTCTAATAATTTTTTCCTTTAAGTATCCAACATCTGACTAGGGGTGGGGGGGGGGACACAAGGCCAAAACTAAGATGCTGTGGACCAAATAAAAGTGGGATTAATGGCCAGCGCCATACATAGTGTGACATGAGAATACACAGAGTACGGGTATGTGCTGCAAAATAATGATTACAATATTTAAACTAAAAAAAATATATATACAACACAAGTGGATGTAGATGCTCGCTTGTTTAAGATTACCGAGGTTATACTATATGAGAAAATAAATCTTGCGACTCATTAGTCAATTACTACTCGGGAACACCGGACAATAAACGTAATAAATAAGTAGTGAAGAAGAGATTGCCTCCCTGGGTGGCTAATAAGCTGATAAGTGATGGAAATGATAAATAATAAAAAATAAATGAAGAAGAGAAAAGATTGGTAATACAGCACAGAAATACTACAGAAAATACACAGGCAAACATTTAGAGAGTGTGAGTACAGTACTGTGCTGTAAAATGCCATCATGCACACAATTATAACTAAAACTTCCATTATAGGACAATAAACAGTATAAATAAAACAATTATTATTCTAAATCTATAATAAGAAAAAAAATTTCCTCAAAGCTAGGGAGGCACATGTACCAAAGCCATCGTTGGCAAGAGAAGTACAATACAGTATTACATTTGGTGAAGTCTAAACTGCAAGATTTGAGAACTCATATGAGAGTCTTTACAGTCGATGCATTACAATGACTGTGATGTGAGAAGTAAACATGCTATATATGATAAGAGTTAATATGGATAACTGTATTAATGGAAGAGTACTGTACTTAATAGTAGTGGTAATTGTGATGATGGTGACATAAGAGTAACACATGCTAAGAATAACACATTAAGTGTAAATAAAAGTTGTGATAATCTTCAGTGTTACTATATACAGTACAATCTATTCTGTAAAACAAGAGTCTCATTTCTCAAACATCCAAGGATTTGCCATGAGGTATGACTCAGTTGCTGCCCTTACATATTGGCTAGTTATCTCCTATTATTGAAACTTATAGAAAATGTGATATATAGTAGTGATAATAACAGCTTTAGCTACATCCACATATTGTATTTAACCTCTCCAGAATGATAACTTAACCCCTTCTGTGTATTGTCTTGAAGTCTTTGCACTGTACTCAAGGGGTTAAGCTTCTACACATGTATATCTCTGTTCTATTAATGGAATCCAAGTACAGAGCATAGGAGTATAAAAGTACTATTGTGTTTAAAACTCTGAGACTAACTAGTACGGATGCACGAACTGACGGATGCACGAACTGACGGATGCACGAACTGACGGATGCACGAACTGACGGATGCACGAACTGATGGATGCACGAGCTGATGACTGGCAAAATCGTGAGAGATAATATAACCATGCAAGTGTGTCAAATACTTCTGGAGGAGGAAGAATAACAGCCATAACTCACAAAATAGTCAGGTTCTATGTGTAAAGTTGTATGTAATATTAAAAGAAATGTGACAACTGCCAATGAGAACAACTCTCGTATCGAATTTGTGTGGATTCCGTCCCATGTTGGAATTAGGTATCATGATTGTGCTGATAGACCGGCTAATGAGGCCTGTCTAATGCTGTACTTAAAAACATTCAAGTCAGAATCATGAACTCTGATCTAGAAGAACTGAGAAATGCAGAGACACCTGGCAGTTGTAGCATTAGTAAATATGACAAATTTTGTGACGAGAGGTACCGGTATGGCCAGCATAAGGACAGAACCAGACAATGTGATGTAGTCGTGGCCAGAATTAGGCTAGGATACAGACACATCTGGCAAGTTAGTAACGCTGTACCCATACAGGAACACTCAGCATGTAAACTTTGTGATAAACCTTTAAAGCATACACTTGAACACTATTTTATTGAATGTGACACTGTCAAAGACTTCAGGCTACCTGGATTATTGTTTCATGAACTTTGTAATTACTATATTGAATTGGGGGTGCTTGGGGACATTGTTGCTGTTTATCCTAAATTTGCTAGCCCACACTAATTAGTCTTCAATTAGAATATGACGTCCAATGTATATGAACCACTGTCTTGCATGGCAGCAAACAGTGACATCACCCACATGTGCAGCGAACAGTGACATCACCCACATGACTCTGACCTATATATACTGCTAATGAATATGATGTATTTCTTTGTGTATGAACCTCTGTCCTGCGTGGCAGTGAGAAGTGATAGCACCCTCAGTGTCAAGACCTGGCTGAATTACTCAGAATAGGCAAGCTGTACTCCAAGCATTGTCAATAAATTTGTTAAACTAAAAAAAAAAAAAATAGTCTCTCAAACTTGCAAAGGGAATAATAACACGAGTATAGAAGTGAGTGTAGTTAAAATAGATTACCTGAGACAAGGCTGTGGCTCCAGAAGTATCTGTAGTGAAGAAGGGTGAGGTGAGGAAGTGTAAGTTGAGACTACACAAGTTATCTACACTGTATTATAAATATCCCAATCCCATGAAGCTGTCTATACCTTATCTCAAAAGGTCGTGACCCATACTGTACAGGGTGTCTCATAGATCACACACCATACTGTACAGGGTGTCTCATAGATCACACACCATACTGTACAGGGTGTCTCATAGATCACACACCATACTGTACAGGGTGTCTCATAGATCACACACCATACTGTACAGGGTGTGTCATAGATCACACACCATACTGTACAGGGTGTCTCATAGATCACACACCATACTGTACAGGGTGTCTCATAGATCACACACCATACTGTACAGGGTGTCTCATAGATCACACACCATACTGTACAGGGTGTCTCATAGATCACACACCATACTGTACAGGGTGTGTCATTGGTCACACACATCCAGGCATATGGGTGTTGTTGATTATCGAGAACATTAATTTTCACAAGGTACGAGACCCATGAGACCAAGGTAGGTAGATACCAGGTAGCCTCACGCAGGCCCATAGGAATTCACTAATTGGCAACTCTACTCTCGAGATGGCTAAGCCACGCCCCTTTTGCCACTTCATGCGTTTGCAATATTGAGGTATTATTATCTGCTTCTACTGTTTGATGTAACTAAGTGGGTGGAGCTTAATAAGTGATGTCATCGCAAGCCAATCAGCGACGTTGGATGGAATCCAGCGGTCGCAAGTAAGATATTTATATTTATTTTATATATTTAATCAGTGGCTCCAATTAAAATAAAACAAAAAATCTCCATTCCATACATTTATTGTACAACTTTTAATACCATCATAAGCCTTCAAAAATACGTACCGGGTAAATAAAAATTTCATTTTTATTTTCATTAGCTTAGATCCTATGGGAGTGAGGCTACCTGGTATCTAACTACCTTGCATGAGACACCCTGAAGAGAAACCCCGTCCTATATAATTATGAGTTGGGTGAATGGTGACAAGCGGTGATGGGAACTGTGGATGCAACAATAACGTACTTACTGACTATTTACGTTCAGGGAAGGTACAGTGACAGTACGAACGACACGGTAAAAAGAATAATAAAAACATTTAGTAAAACATCGTAACAATTACCTCGTTTACAGGAAAATATTGAACATCTAAACATCGATTATAAGTTTTTTAAGGGTATTTCAACTTAAGTGTGAGACTAATATAAATAAAAAAAAGGAAATTTGGAGTTATTTAAAACACAATAGTCTGAAACAACCAGTAAGTTATGACAAGTTAACAGGAGTTTTCTTGTCATTTATCAATCAATAAAATATTTCTTGTGTAAATGTAGGTTATGATGATTATGCTTAACAAGACTAACATACAACAGTTATGAGGCGGACCCACACAACCAGGAGTACTACACAGCGATCCCTCGTCCCGCACGATGCTTCACAAGAGCTAATTCAAAGATAGACCAGGATCCTTTCACTACCCATTATTCGACCTGCTTGGGTTAAATCTCAAAGACAGACTACTTGTACTTTTAAAACTGTGATTAAGTTTTTGTCTAACTTCTACATTTTTTTCTGATTAGTAGTTGATTTTTTGTCATAATACACTTTAAGGAGTTCTGGTGAGATGTATAGCATATGAAGTATTGATTCTGAAATACTGTACTGTACCCTTTTAATATATGATGACTCCCTTACTACCAAGTCTATAAGTTGACAGCCCAGCAACCCTTGACACTACTAACTCCTTATCCCACACCTTCCTCTCAGATCTGAACATTAAAACACACTGTATGATACAACACACATCAATTAAACCTGAGAGTAATGAGTCTTAGCTGCCACACTAGACACAATGCTCGGTGATCCTCATTTGGCTTTGGGAACAAATCTTTATTACCCAAGTCATTCCTTAGTTACAGTCTACGGTACCTGAATATTTTATAATAAAGGCCATCGTACGACCAGCTAAGCTACACACTATGGTATCAGGTCCCCCCCATAATAAAGTGCTGGATTATGTTGCCCCACAAGTAAATATAACATGTCAGCTAAATAACTTCAAGCTGGGTCACTAGAAACCTGTAAACATTCTTGTAATATAGAGAGACAACAATGTGGTTAAATTCATGTACAGTATTATGAAGGTGAGTGAGCGGTGCAGGGGAGGGGCTCAGTAAACACAGACCCGCGGCTGGTCCAGAAGTTGACGCACAAAGCCAGACAAGGACCATGGCCAGCACGAGGTAGTGTGGAGGTCGGACCCACTGTCTTCAACATCTCCAGTGACTGTCATATCCCTAACACATCATTTAACATACTGTACTGTACCTCAGGTATAAGAGGAATGCATAAACTTATTACCATTGACAGCCTTTAATACTGACAGCTCTTCAATAGGTAATACGTGAGTCATACAAACTGAATTAAATTAAACACTTCAAAACTCAACATCTTACATTATTGTCTAAGGAGTCAAATTTTTTCATGCAGGTAAACTACTTCACTAATGTTTGAAAGTTATTTAAAAATGTGAAAGGATAACCCAAAAACTCATACTCAAGAAACATTTATCACACCAAAGTAACAAATTAGTTAACCATTAAAAAAAAAAGGTAATAAAAAACAAACTACTAAATAACGTCTACATTAATACTACGCGACGACAACGATTAATTACATCAATGACTAGACAGCTAAAAGACAGAACTATATGCAGTATTCACTAATGGGTTAAGCATCCCTCTTACCGTCTATGAGGTATCAAGTTCACACACGAGGACAGAACCGGCAAATGGAAAAGTCATGAAAAAGTGGAAAAAGTACATTGTTCAAGGACCATTACTAAATCATCCAATCCTCAGTCAGCAGAAAAGTATATCAATGATCAGGATTTTCAAGTCTGTCAATATAGTATAAGATGCACATTGATATTAGCCTGACATTTTATGAACTAGGAAGACCTATTCTACGACCATCAAAGCTAAACGTCACTACTGTACATGGTTGAGAAATTTTGTCTTTAATATTTCTTGGAGTCAAAACAATTTATATAGTAATTCTTGTTAACATTTTACACCAATCAAGAAAGGTTGACAGCAGCAAGGTTATCATTTCTACTCTCTAACCTTCCATATTTATCTACCTATTTGTACTTATCTCTTCCTCCTCATCATCATATTTGTATCGTTGACAACATCTTTTAACTACACCCAAACATTCACATAACAAAATATTAACCTTCTATTCTTACACTGACTTAAAAACTCTGTTCAATATTTATCCCTGACTTGCCTTACTAACGTGATGATAATAAGTAGAATATAAATATATACCGTACACAATCAATTGACCTATAATAAATCTGTCAAATGAGGCACTCTGCATCAGAAGGGGGTGAAGCAACACCCCGGCCAAAATGTGTTTTTTGACGGATATCACTATTTTCACCCTTCCTCTACATGTTGGCATTGGATGTAACCCCCCAGCTAGAATAGAAATATGGTTGAAAGTCCTTCAAAAATAAGGTGTGATTTCGCCTCAGGCCTGGAGCTACGTATCTGGCTGTGCGCTCAATCAAAGAAAGTGGCAACATCCCGTTCAGAGTGAGGGAGCGCGAGCCAATGACAGCACGCCTCCCTCGGACCATACCCCCAAGGCAGCCAATTACAATGGATTTCCCCTTGCTACGTCACAGCTCCTCGGCCAATCTGCGTGCCCAGATGCTGCCTCCTCCTTAGTTTTGGCGTGTATTTTAGCATCAGGAGATTCAGTGTACTTTCTACTTCTATTTTTGATAAATTTTCGCTGTAACATTGACGTTATTTGTGTTCCACGGGTGTGAGAAGTACTGTGCAATATCTGCCCGATATTAGAGCAAGATTCGAGTGAGGCCAGATCCTTCTGGTGTGGGTTCAGGAGCCCATTATACCTGAGTGTGTGTTTAGTAACGACAGTGCTCACGTGGACACCCCAGTAATGCTTGGTGATAAGTGATTTTGGTGGTGAATTTAGTGTTGATTATGGTGATACAAGTGCTCACAGCATGATGAAAGTGATTATCATAATGACAATAACACCTTGAACGCACAGAATAATTTTTTAGCACACTACAAAGCATCTGAAGATGTTTTTGCCGACTATGACGAGTTAAAAGATAACGTGGCAAGCAGTGACGATGTTAATGATGATGAAAGTGAGCTTGAAATAGATGAAACTGAGAATACTCATAATACAAAAAGTGACTGCTATGCATTACAAGACCTTTTTGCAGACTGTGATCCTGTTCAGTTACGTGACATGCACTGACGGCAATAATGATGATGAAAGTGAAGATGAAAATGATGAAAGTGAGTCTAATGGTAACACAAACAGTGACACTAATGTATCACAACAAGACCATACAGACTGTGAGGAGGTAGAAGTGGACAGTGACGAGATATGCATTGACCTTGATAGTAATGAAAGTGAGCCTGACCCAACGAATGCCAGTGAAAGTGAGCCCATACCTCAGTCTTATAATGAAACTGAACTGCTGCCGGCATCAATAATCAATGATTTAGTTGATGAAGAATCTGTGTGGCTATTTTTAGAGAGGGCAGAGAAAGACTATGATCAGTACGTGATTGATTGTGACGAGGCCATTAAAGTTTTACGCACTCCTCAGGATTTACATAACTTCAAGTTGCTACGATCTTCAGGGATAATAAAACGAAGGAACTGAACAAAGTAAGATTGTAATACTATTATCATAATACTGTTTTTACCAAAGATTATGAAAGCTTTCTCCACCTTTGTATACGTATGTTAATTACGTTGGGGGGGAGTGTAGTGGTGTTTCCTTATTATTACACGCTACTATACTTAACAATATTATAAATCTTTGGCTAATAATAGGGACGGAAAGATAAATACTGATAGGCAAATGAGTTTTTTATTATTTCATTTTTGGGGAGGAGATGTGGGGGTCTATGGAAGGGGGGTGCAAGACAAGTGCTGTTTTTGGTAATCATTAACTTGTTTTACAGTATTAGCCCACAATAATTTTGCAGAAAAACACGATTATTGTTGGTTTGAAGCTCAAACAACTCACGATAAAATAATATCTGTTCACAGTACTAACTTCCAGTTTTCACAGTTCGCTAGGAGAGGGATTGAGCTGCACGATAAAAAAAATTAACCCTCTAGTTTAAAAAACAAAAAAGTTATGGTTGTTTGAACTTCAAAAAACTTTAAACGCATTTTTCTCAGTTTTTTTAATTTGGTGCTTCAACCCCTTCTGATGCAGAGTGCCTCAAATGTAAACACACAAAACCTAATTAATTATTGTGGGAAAACTAATATCTAGATTTTTTAATTCAAATCCAAAGTGTAAAGTGTTGAGGGTTTATACTCACGCCTCTCAAGTGTCCCTCGACATAGTGCAGCGGCAAGGACCGAGTGCCGTAGATGTCGTGGATGTCTTCCCGGCTGAGGCAAGTTAAGCCCCGGTATATGGACCCGACCTGAATCTTCTGAAACTGATCCATCTTCATCAGTAAACCTTTCTCGATGTCGTAGTGAAGTCCCCGCACCGCAAAGTCCCGGTTGTACTGCAGTGACTTGATTTCCTCGGGATACTGGGAAAAAAATGTTTCTCGACTCTTAATATATCCAGTTATTGTCTCTTATTATTCTTAACATTATCATCATCTACATAGGAATAGTGGGAAAAAAACCCTACTTGGATGTTAATAGAACCATATTTAATACACTACATTATAATAACAATTTATACTACATATACACACACTATACTTACACCATAGTATACACGCACTATAGTTACTCACCCTATACTTGGAGACCAACACATTCTTCCCCAGGTCATATATCAGGGTCTCGACAGCTACTTCATAATTGGCTAAGGTGTAGTCATAGTCGAAGCCGTAAACTTTAATATCTCGGAGGTCAAGTTCATTGCTGCCAAATACTGCTTTAGGGTTGACGTCATCTGGCATCTTTTTACCTGGAGGAAATAAAAGAACATATAGTAAAACCTCCATTTAACAGACTTCTCTCTCCATGTACAGTAATCTCTTAGTTGGGGGTTTAACATCTTTAGGGCCCTTGATATAATGGACGTTCATGTCTATATAGTTTTGCTAATTGAAGGTTTCTCGTCCAATAGAGCCTCGAGATGATGGAATTACCTCTCCCCGTAGTCCGTTAAATGGAGGTTTTACTGTGCGGTTAAAATACATTTATTAACACCTGATGGGAATAAAACCCAAATTGGGTCTTATTAATAATTAATTCTTTTTACTAATTCATGGTGAAAAACAACTTTGATGAAGTAAACAAACTGGTAATAAATATATTAAGATAAACATAAATTTTTATTTTAACTTCTAGGTTTTCATTTATAAATCAAATTGAAGGATTTTTTTTCTTCAAAACTTTGAATTTTTGTAAATCAGGATCAACCTGCACAGTAAACAAATTTAAATATAACAAAATGATTATGGAATGTACAAATAATCATATAAAGTATGTAACATCAGAAGTGTTGGTGGTACAGCAGTAATGTGCAAACCTCTCACCAATATGTCAAGGGTTCAACTGAGGCAGGTGTTAGCCAGAGTGACCCTCCCTACCAAACATCACAGGTTTCCCACACTCCAGTTCCTCCCGTACAAACACTGGATAGACTAACTGCTCGAATGTCTAGTAAGCTGAGTGGTGATATGATTAAAAAAATACACTTGAAAATAATAAATTGCGCAGTAAACAAATATCAGACCCTATTTAGCAGAGTGTTTGTACAGTAATATAACATAACATTAACCCCTTGTGTACAGGTCCCCCTCTGAGATCAATAAAATCATCTGTCATTAACCAAATATTAAAAGTGGGGTTAAGGTCAGGTGAGGGAAGCACTAAGTTTGAACCTTGCAGTGTGCAGGATGTGATGCAAGAAACCCTCCCTCTATTAAGCACCACTACGGTATTTATATAACAAGAAAAAAAGAATAAAACTCTGTATTATGTACTTAGTTCATAGTTATTATTCCATTAATTATAATAATGTTCAGAAAATATGAAGTACAGTAGGATCAGTGTGTGCTTATCTTAAATTACGAGTTCAGTCATTGTCTATATAAGCTTGGTAAAATTGTCAGGATTTAAAATGATTCAGAAAACAAAATGGCCTCAGAAAGATGAGTCAAGAGATGATTGTACATTACAGCGAGTTCATCTGTGGCTTTTGTTTATCTGACTGGTGTTTCTACTTCCTTTTGTACACTTGTGCTGGGATTCACTGCCTCATTCCTATAAATGTTTACACTCTGTTCAAAATCATTTAATGTATAACCTGTAGGTGCCCCGACCATGTCATTCACAGTTTAATTCACATGTAAGGCGGGAAAGTTTGCCTTCTAAAAACAGTGTACCACAATGTCATTTGTGACACACTGCCAAGTGTCAGTGACGAGTAACCTGGCACTTAAATGGATGCACCTTCTTGGCTGCTGCATCGTGACCACACCACCACATGACACTACAGAACAGTACAAAGTGACATTAAGTGAGTCAGTGACCCAACTCTTAAATAAGTTGTGATATAAGAGAGACTTACTATACACAAGGTTGTTTAGCTACAGTAATCTGAGTTTTCAGCTGTGTGTGATGTATACTACTGTACAGTACAGTACTGTATATACTGTAAGGAGACATTGTATAAGTTTTGCTGTAGGTGGTAGTGTAATCATTATCGACTTCCTGTATCCCCCATCCATTTTGTTGTTGTCATACCCTATAGTTATGACCTTTATATTACACTTAAACAATACTGTGTTTATATCACACCTCAAACCCAACTTCTCAACAACCATAATGAAATCAAGATTCTTTAATTTCTTGCTGTATAAATGTTAAGGTGATTATTCTGATATCAAACTGTGTAATGCTGTACATTAGTTAGTGTATTAATACAATAATGTGTCATTCCATCTTTTCTCTATTATTTTTAAATTGGTCTTGAAGGATTACAATACCTTCCCTCTGCCATACTATAACAAACTAACAAGGTTATTTCTGGCTGGGTCTTGATTTTTCTTTATTTCAATTATGAAGATTAGACATCCCACTTATTCTACCAGATAATTAAACACCCTAGTGCTAAATGGGGGATAAGGTTAGGTTAGATTAGCATTAGGGTGTTTAATTATCAGGTGAAGTAAGGAGGAGTTCCTAATCTTGAAAACAGTAGACATAAGATAAGAGCTGTAATTGACCCTAGTCAGAGAGTTGTCATCGTAAACTGCATGAGGAAAGGTTCAAAATTTTCATCAACACAAAAGGACAATGTTGTACAGGGTCTCGCATTTGCATGTGTATTTTTTATTATACTGTATTTCAGATATTCGAGACTTGGCTATTCCAGACACACCCTCCCCCAATTAGTCCAGATGATCAAAGGTTCAGTCACACAAATAGGATTATCAAGTTAATTCTACTATAATACAACTTAAAACATGATTACTCAGTGACGAAATTTTGCTATTAGTTTAAGTATATGTGTAAATGCTAGAAGACTGTTGATGAATACTAAACCTTCACGCAGGCAGGCACGCACGCACGCATGCACACGCACGCATGCACACGCACGCATGCACACGCACGCATGCACACGCACACACACACACACGCACGCACACAAATGTGAAGGCCAGGGTAAAACAGGATCAATTAAAATTATCAACAACTTGGGTGGTGAGACTTGATGATCTTGGGTCTAAGATGTCAATGACCACTTCGACTTCACATGACTGACTCATCAAGTAGTGTCAGTGTCCTCTGGTGTGAGAATAAGTAGGGTGGTTGTACCTCCCTATATTTGACACTTGTGACTTTAATCACGCATGAGTGTCACCTGTCACAGGAAATAATACCGAATACAGGTGTTGACTGCTTACATTATTGTTCTGTACTGTATTTGGCAGGAGAACACAACCTACATATATCACCAGGGCAGCCAGATGCCAGCAGTGAGTAAGTAAAAGTACAGTACGTTCTGAAAAAAATTACTTAAGGTAGAGTTAAATACTGTACATGGCAGTATAGCTACTTTGTCCACTCACCAACACTGTTATGTGTTTGACCAGACATTAATGTTGTATGGTCTACTTTTAAAGTTTATTAACACACTGGATATAACTACAGTATGACAGCCTTTTACATTTTTAATTCAATATTCATGGTAACGAAACCCTGCCTGGCTCAAACACAAAATGACATCATCACTGAAGGTCCCATAAAATTTTAATTAATAAATGTTCAGAGCTGAAGTTGAACTTTATAAAACAAATTTACCAGCAAAGACCCAGTGATAACTATAAGATACCTGCGTGAATAAACAGAGCCTTTACACTTTGTCCATTAGAGGTTCATGAGACATATCCACCATGAAGATAAAGTAGAGCATGTAGCTAGGATAGGAGGATGTAAATTGTCAATAAGTTTATACCATGGTAATACTTAATGTGAAAGGTCCAGAATTACTAGCTACCTGACAATAGTTTTCCATATTAGATAAAAATATAACAAACAAGCACAAACTAAGATAACGTGTATACAGTACTTGTTGGTCACAAAAACTATACAAGAAGTGATCTCCACACTAAAGTATTTTTGAGTTCACATAAGATTGAGTTTCAGTTGTTTCAGGTACTATAAGTTTCACCTCACTCACACATAATGAAGTTTCAATTAATTTGTAAAGTTAGTCACAACTCGCTCACACACACAGAGTTAAACTTCACCTAACCCAGACATGTCACAGCTCACGTACACAAGTCTAAAATCTCACACACATACACACACGATTTAACTTATTCACTATTATGTTTCAGCTTTCCTACACATACACTATGGCTCACGCACATAAACAATTAATTTAAGATGAGTACGTGAGTGTGATGATACAGGTGTTAGTACAGTACAGGTAAGGGGGGGGTGGGAGTACATGTGTTAGGTGACAATGACTTACTCTCCCATAACGCCCTGTGATCTTGGTAACACTTATGAAGAAACTCCTGAGAGTATTCCCTTTTAGGTATGGTGTACATCCCAGTGAGCCTGACTATCTCCAGGGATGGTCTTAACCGTACTGGGGCCAAGAAAAGACTGTAAATGCTCTGAAGGGACCGCATCGTTGCCAGACTTGTGCGTCGTCTGCAGTCAGCTGGCTCCATCCTCGGTGTGTTATTCCTTCATTTTATTCAGGAACACCAGAAAAATAAACAACCATTGCAAAATAAACTAAATATTTGAGGTAAAATCTGTTTTAAAATTTACGTAAGAGGTTTTATAATCTTTTTCATTTTTTTTAACTTATATAGTATTTAGTACATTTCTTAGGTAACTTTTCCCTGAGTTTGTATTTTCCTCTTAATTCACGTCCTGATTTCCGAGATGGATCACAGTGCCTCAGACCGGTGGTATTTAATTCGTGTATTTTCCGGCTTTTAAATTCAGTAAACAATGGGTAAAGCATCGGGGTTGGTTAACCTATAAGGCACATATTAAGTTTCTTTGCTAATACAATTTTATACCACAAATTTCCACATTTATTAGTGAATAGTTCAATAAAAGATACTTACAGTTATTGGTTGGGTACAATATACACATAAGGACATACTATGCAGTGCAAACAACTCCCTACAGAATCTCATCTTTTATACAACTAATTGATTCAATTTTATTCAAGGCTGTAAGAGAGGAGAGGTACACATCACAGTAACCTATTATACTTTCCTTTCACTTATCTTACCTTATCTTCGTTATTTGTCAACTTAGGAGTTGCAGCCCGCAGTGGCGGATTTTAGGCCAGGGGGGGGCTTAAAATATTTTAACATTTTTTTTTTGTAACTACGGAAATATTTTAACATTATTTATGTAGCTGGTTTGGGTACGAGTGATCTATTTTAGTTTGATTTTTCCCTCTCCCCGCAACAGCCCCCCCCCCCCTACAGGGAGGTGGTGAGGTATGTGTTGCTCGCTGGTAGCAGGTACTGGGCCTTCACGGTCTCTTGAATATAAGTGGTTAAGTGATTAAAAAAGTGAACATGTGCCAGTATTGGTCAGGCTTGGTTGGAGGTTTCACATTGGCTGACGAGTATTCCAGGACTTCACTAACTATTACGCCCTGAGTCTCTGGCGATTGATATGTGGCACCGAACACCTGCCAGACAACACACACCTGTTCTACCAGCTGTTGACGATGCATCGGGGAGATGCTGAAACTGAATTCTAAATTATCAAGAATATTAGTTACGATAACATAAACAGGCTATGTGGAGTTAGGTTAAGTTAGGTTAGGCTAGGCGTTCTAGGGTGTCAATCATCGCGTGAGTTAAGCTGGGGAACCTAATATTAAGATGAACCATAGTTATTATTGTCTCGGCTTACACAGTATATACCATGTCTTGTCGTCTGTTGTAGATCACATAAATTATTTGTCGATAAACTGATAATATTAAGATTGTTAAGACATATTTCCAGCCCCCATCCCACATAAATAACTATTAAGAGTACTTTTAAAACACAAAATAACCTCCCATTAACGGACCGTCTCATCAGCGGAACCTCCATTAGTGGATATTCTCATTAGCGGACCTTCCCATTAGCGGACCCTCCCAATAGCGGACCCTTTCATTAGCGGACCCTCTCATTAGCGGACCATCCCATTAGCGATCCCTCCCAATAGCGGAACCCCCCCCCCCCACTAACAGATGCTCCTGGTAGTGGATGGGCTTTAACCTCGACCGTCAAAGGGATAATCCGCTGGTGAGATGTCATTTCGGTTATGATATTTACATGGGGCCCGACAAGCGCCTCAGTCCGCTAATGGGAGGATCTTACTGAACTAAAAAACAAGACACCGTCGGGTCTATAAAAGCGAAGTTATCCCAAACCAAGAGACACTGAGGGTAAGAATTACTTTATCTAATAATGCATAAAACATGAAGTGTGATAAATTGTAACATAACATAGCATAACATAGCATAGCATAACATAACATAGCATAACATAGCATAACATAGCATAGCATAACATAAGGCTAGATGCCAGACAGTTGTGTTTTGTTCTGATGTTTCCTTTAGAATTTATCTGTAATATGTCAGACGCCACAAGACCACGATAAAGACGAGGAGGAGGAGGAGGAGGAGGGAGAAGGAGGAAGGCGGCGACGAACAAGGAATAAGGCGACGACAAGGAACAAGGCGACAACAAGGAACAAGGCGACGATAAGGAACAAGGGGACGATAAGGAGCAAGGGACGACAAGGAATAATGATAAGGAACAACGGAGGCGACGACAAGGAACAAGGCGACGACGACGATAAGGAACAAACGAGACGAACAAGGCGACGACAAGGAACAAGGCGACGACAAGGAACAAGGCGACGACAAGGAACAAGGCGACGATAAGGAAATGACGATAAGGAACAAGGCGACGATAAGGAACAAGGCGACGATAAGGAACAAACAGGACGACGAACGACGATAAGGAACAAGCGACGACAAGGAAAACGACAAGGAACAAGGCAAGCGACGAAAGGAACAAGGCGACATAAGGAACAAGACGACGACAAGGAACAAGGCGACGACAAGGAACAAGACGACGACAAGGAACAAGGCGACGACAAGGAACAACATGACGACAAGGAACAAGGCGACGACAAGGAACAAGGCGACGACAAGGAACAAGGCGACGACAAAGAGGAGGAACAAGACCAGACGAGGAGGAAGGAAACAACGACGATGCCAGGTTGGTGGAAGGAGGACTGAAGGTTTCTTGGCAAATACATGAGTTAAAGATGGACACTCCCGCCCACCACAATACTCAGTGAGGCGGACCACGGTATATTACCACTCCTTATGTGGCTAAAACAACAGTGTCCTGGTGTGTGGTACCTGTACTGTCCTGGTGTGTGTTGGTACCTGTACTGTCCTGGTGTGTGTTGGTACTGTCCCGGTGTGTGGTGGTACTGTCCTGGTGTGTGTTGGTACTGTCCTGGTGTGTGGTGGTACTGTCCTGGTGTGTGTTGGTACTGTCCTGGTGTGTGGTACTGTCCCGGTGTGTGGTGGTACTGTCCTGGTGTGTGTTGGCCTGTGTGTGTTGGTACTGTCCTGGTGTGTTGGTACTGTCCTGGTGTGTGGTACTGTCCTGGTGTGTGTGGTGGTACCGTCCTGGTGTGTGGTGGTACTGTCCCGGTGTGTTGGTTGGTACTGGTCCTGTGTGTGTTGGTACTGTCCTGGGTACTGTCTGTGGTGTGTGTTGGTACTGTCCTGTGTGTGGTGGTACTGTCCTGTCCTGGTGTGGTACTGTCCTGGTGTGTGGTGGCACTGTCCTGGTGTGTGTTGGTACTGTCCTGGTGTGTGGTACTGTCCTGGTGTGTGGTACTGTCCTGTCCTGGGTGTGTGTTGGTACTGTCCTGGTGTGTGTTGGTACTGTGTGTGTTGGTACCGTCCGGTGTGTTGGCACGGCCGTGCGGTGTTAACTGGTGTGTGGCACCTGTGTGTGTTGTCCGGTGGTACTGTCCTGGTGTGTGTTGGTACTGTCCTGGTGTGTGTTGGTACTGTCCTGTGTGTGGTACTGTCCGTGTGTTGGTGTCCTGTGTGTGTGGGTGCTGTCCTGTGTGTGTGTGGCACTGTCCTGGTGTGTGTTGGGTACTGTCCTGGTGTGTGTTGGTAGTACTGTCCTGTGTGTGTGGTACTGTCCTGTGTGTGGTACTGTCCTGGTGTGTGTTGGTACTGTCCTGGTGTTTGTTGGTACTGTCCTGGTGTGTGTTGGTACTGTCCTGGTGTGTGGTACTGTCCTGGTGTGTGTTGGTACTGTCTCGTGTGTGTTGGTACTGTCTCGTGTGTGATACTTAGCATCAATTAGAGCACAAATTATCATTATTAATTCAGATTTCCAGCATCACCTTCAATATCACAAGTTAACGTGGACTCCAAGCATTAGTTCTTACAGAGGTTGCCTTGAGAGAAGCAAATCTGGCATCACTGTCTCGGGGTGACGACACACTATGGCCACCATATATATAAATACCCTCCCTAGAATAATGGCCTGTATTTACTAATCATCACAAGTAGAATATATCTGAAGTTGAATTTACACACACTATTCTTTTATTGAAGAGAATTGGTCCTTTTTTATTTAATTCTTTTCTGTTTAAATCAAATGTCAAGCGTAGAATACTTACACAAGAGGAGTTTGTTTATTTTCCTGGGGCTAAATTTATCCCACCTAAACTTTATCAACATTCCCTGTGCGTCTTGTCTTAGTTGATCTTATGTTCAAATAAATAATTCATCGCTAGAAAACACCCAACAAGAGGCTACCTTTACTGTGATATTCATTGTAAACTTTATAAGTGAAGCGTCAAGCAGAGGCGAATCTTGCATCATCCAAGTAAGGTGCTTAACACAGTACACGCATGTCAGTTCTTCCTACATAAGGAGCTGTTCCTTAGTGCCAGGTGTGTTCCAGGTAGTCACAGACAGTCCCAGGTAGTCACAGACAGCCCCAGGTAGCTACAGACAGTCCCAGGTAGCCACAGACAGTCCCAGGTAGCCACAGACAGTACCAGGTAGCTACAGACAGTCCCAGGTAGCCACAGACAGTCCCAGGTAGCCACAGACAGTCCCAGGTAGCCACAGACAGTCCCAGGTAGCCACAGACAGTACCAGGCTGTCCCAGGTAGCAACAGACAGTCTCAGGTAACCACAGACAGTCCCAGGTAAGCACAGACAGTCCCAGGTAGCCACAGACAGTCCCAGGTAGCCACAGACAGTCCCAGGTAGCCACAGACAGTCCCAGGTAGCCACAGACAGTACCAGGCTGTCCCAGGTAGCCACAGACAGTCCCAGGTAGCCACAGACAGTACCAGGCTGTCCCAGGTAGCCACAGACAGTCTCAGGTAACCACAGACAGTCCCAGGTAAGCACAGACAGTCCCAGCCACACAGTCCCAAGTAGCCACAGACAGTCCCAGGTAGCCACAGACAGTCTCAGGTAACCACAGACAGTCCCAGGTAAGCACAGACAGTCCCAGGTAGCCACAGACAGTCCCAGGTAGCCACAGACAGTCCCAGGTAGCCACAGACAGTCCCAGGTAGCCACAGACAGTCCCAGGTAGCCACAGAGTCCGGTAGCCACAGACAGTACCAGGTAGCCACAGACAGTCCCAGG